GCGGTCCCCTGCAGCGCTGCACTAACCAATGGGGCAGAAAGGCTCATACTGGGCGGTGCAACCTTACTGCCTTTGCTGGCATTGGCCCTCTAGTTCCACCACGTCCAGCTCGCAATGCTTGAATGATGCTTCCCGTACGATTACATGCTGAATGGCATGTCATGTGTCACTTTAAGCCGCCCTGTGAAGCTTGAACCCTTACACCCGAGATTTGGTGCAGTGTGGTGGTGTGTATTTTGTCAGTCCGAAGCACATGCCCAACACTCCAAAGTTCGAAACTCAACCCTGAACCCTAAACCTTAAACTCCAAACCCAAAATCTAAGCCCATGGAGTTTCACCACCTGGCTCATGAGCGGCGAGGTCCCTTCGCAGGCAAGAGAAAGGCATCGTTTTTTGTCCGTGCTGTCGTTTCCCGACTAGGGTCAGGTTCCCTTTGGCTTTAACCCGGTCTAGGTCGCGGAGAATAAGTCATGTCTTGCCAACTTCCTGCGACTTGCAAGATCCAGAGCAATTTTTTTTATTGGAGCTCTTCAGCACAAGAAACCTTAGTGAAGCATTGGAACATGTGCTTGGCGGCAGCCTCCAAGTGCGGTTTCGGTCTGAGGAAATGCTCGATGGCTTCGGCTTCGTCTGAACCCACTGTCCCAAACCTCAAAGCAGTCTCAAGCCGCAGGTCTGCACTCGAAAGGATGCAGAGCCCCCTGAAAAGCTCGAAAGCTGGATGCCTGACGCTGAGGCTCAAACTCAAGCATCTTTAAACCTTTCAGCCCCACTGCCTTGAAGTTTTAAGCCCCAGAGCCCTGATCGTTTTCACTCTGGCAGCACGGTCGGATCAAGCCGTCGCCGCGACCCTTTCCACTTGGGATGGCGACAAGATGAAGAGGCCTGGGATGGATATTATGTCGGGCTCTGGGGCTTGAAATACTGGGACTGCGGTTCAGCAGAACTTGACGGGTTGATTCTGAGGGGTTTGGCAGCTACCCTTGAGTGGTTGAGACTTTAAGTCCTGAGGTTTGGGGATCCGACTTTTCAGGCTTGTGTACGCAAAGGTCAGAGGTAGATATTTCGGTATGGCATCAGTGACCCCAACCATGGGAACACAACCTGTCCAAAGCGCTTTCCTAGACCTTGAACCTCAAACCTCGAGGCCTAGACCACCATACCCAGCCCTATGGTGAATCCTCAAACCCCCAGCCCCTCTACCTAAAAGCGAAACCTGACTTTATGGAACTGCATCCAGGAAGCGCGCATTGGCGGGGAAGGTCGGTGGTTGCTTTGGCTACGATCAAATTCCAGGGCCCGATTGGGTTTCAGCACATTTGGCTTTTTTCAGGAAGCCTTTCAAGGCTTTGGGTCTCGTATCTTTGGGTTTGGCGGTTTAGTACCGCCCAAAATACCTTCATAAAACAGAGCCCTGTTCAACACAGGGCCTCAACCCGTCACTCAAGAAGCCCCCATTTGGATCGGCTAGTTGTGAGCCACCTTTTTTCTTCAAATGTTTGGTCACTACTGCTTTTCTATGTTTGAGGTTTAAAAAGTTGACGGTTCTCAGGGCTGGTTTAAGAAACTACGGGCCGGGATTCAGCTTCTGGCGGTCGCTGCGGGGTGACTCATCGGCAGGGATTCATAGGCAGCGAGGTCGTCTGTTCGTAGAAATGGCCGGCCGCACCTAGGTGCGTAGGAAAGCCATCGCGTGGATTGATGAAACGTTGCCTCAGGCATGAAGTAGCTTTGCTTCGCATGTCAAGTGCATGTGATGTGATGCGGCTGACCACAACTTCAAGCCCTGAAGCTCTGAAGCTCTTCCGCACCCTAGTGAATTCCCAAAGCCTAAATCTCAGAGTTGGAAAGGGGCCATTGCACTTATAAAAAACGCTAAAGCCCGACATCAGAGAAGCTCCACCCTTGCGCTCGCAACGGCCCTTTGGCTCAAGAACCTTCGCGCGGTTACCTCTGCTTACCGCGCGCCGCTTCGCTCGAGTTCGTCACATTGTGTGTTGCTTTTTGGACTGGGTCTCCACCGGGTGTGCCCTAAGAGACCTGAAACAAGCACCGTCAGGCCTGAAGCCTAGTCAAGCCAGTCTAGGCCCTACCTTAAGCTACCAAAACCTACTTTTGTAGGGTCCCTATAAATTCCATATTAGGGCATTATGGTTTATAATAAGAACCCACAGAAACGTGGGGTTTGGGATTTTAAGGTAGAACCTCAAGGATCTCCAGGGAGCCTGGTGGAGCCTGGCCCATAAGTGAAGAGTCTTCAAGTGGAACCGTGAAGCCCGCAAGTCTACACCCCTATAGGCCCTAGACTCCCAGGCTGTTTGTGGGAGAGTTGCTTCATCCCATCTGAGCTGGATCAGGAGTTTCATTGTGGATTCCGCATAGGCGCCGAATCCTGGAGTCTCAAACCTGGGCCTTTGAATCTTACCCTGAGCCACACCCGAAGCCTCCGGCGGCCTGCAGATTTGAATGATGCACCAGGCAGTATCACAGCGTCCTAAAGGCTTTTGCAGCTCCCCAAAGCCAGTGAAGTCAGGGCTCTTCGTTTCAAAGCTCCCAAACATCGAAGCCAGAGCCGAGGCTCCCTTACCGCTGATTTACGCAGACTTCTTTATCGCTCCGTCGGCTGTGCCACGACCTTCCCCCGAAAGCTGCCAGGCTCAAAATGGTCCTAAGGGTTCCGGTTCCGGGTTTAACGGATTCGGGTTGAGGCTTTCGGATTTAGGGTGTTCGGGTTCGGGATTGAAGTATAGAGCTTGTGCATGCAACACGCCGGCAAAGGGCTTAGGGTAGTAGTAGGGTAGTAGTAGGGTAGTAGTAGGGTTATAGTAGGGTAGTAGTAGGGTTAGTAGGTTTCCTGTTGTTGCGACTTTGGCTCTCCGTCGCAGGGAGGTGCAGAGCAGGACTGGGTTTCAATGTAGGGTCTGGGGTTGAGTGGCGTTTGGTCAAGGACGAGGATTCAGGATTAGTATGTACCATACGGTGATGTGGGAGTTTCCGAAAAGTACGGGTACCTTATTTTGGGGGCCTTATGATGAGGCTTCTACTGTTTAAGGGACTATATTTCGGTCCCTTATTTTCGGAAACCCCCATGTGGGGTTTGGGGTCCTGGGCTTGCAGGCTTCTGGAGTTCAGGGCATAGGATGGAACTCTCGGCCTTTGACCTCTGGAACCTAGGCCTTTGCAAACCCCCACAACACGAAATCCTAACCCCCGCTTTTGAGATGTAACTCCATGGGCTAACGTGCGCATCTGAATCTGAGCTATTGGGGATCAGAGCGAAGATTTGTTGGGGATTCAGGGCGATGACTTTCAGCACCGGCCCAGGTCAGTTGCTGCGGTGTGCCTTGGCATTTTGAGGGGTCCATCCCTAAAGCCTTCTCCCCTGAACCCTGGTATGACTCCTAGTTTACTTCTCTCTTCAGCAAGAGAGGCTTCAGCTGCTGTTAAACGAGCTCTGGTATCTTTGTTGATGCCATCGTCCCCTAACCCAAACGCCAGCCAGGTATCTTGAGATTTCTTGAGGGAAGTTCTTGCAAACAGGCTCCTAACCAAAGCTGCAGGTATTTGGGTTTAGGCTTTGGGGTTTCGAGTTTAGGGTCGAGCCTGCCCCTCGCCCGTGCCTGGAAGGCAAGGCCTTTGCACTGCTCTGGCTTGCCGGTGGTCGGCCGACCATCTTCCCCCAAAACGTGCTGGAGCAACAGCTCCAGGCCTGTTCCAGTAAAGGTGTAAGGGTTACAAGAAGGGCTATCAAGATCTGGCTTCGGATTTCGGGTGTCTTGTTCGTTGCTTTGGGAACTACTTTGCTCTTGGTTTTCGGGCTCGGGGTTTCCGGACTGCGGGATTCGGAAGTTGTGGAGTTTTGCACAGAACGACGGGTGTAAAACGGTCTCATGGATTTCGAGTATCGAAGTGGGGGTGCGTCGAGGATTCCAGAGATGAGGTTTCGGTGCGGTTTTCCCGGGCTGTTGGAATCGACGAAGTCCTAACTCGCAGCTCTGAGCCCTAAACCCTAAACCCCTAACCCCTAAACCCCTAAACCCCTAAACCCCTAAACCCCTAAACCCCTAAACCCCTAAACCCCTAAACCCCTAAACCCCTAACCCTGAACCCTAAACCTTCTGGTGTTCGGGCATTGGACCACGAACTCCTGAACTGAGCCTTAAGCCTTGGAAGTGATGCCATGCAGCCAGGCCTCGGCGTGGAGGCTTTCAAAATTTAGGGCTTGTATGGAGGCTTTCAAAGTTTAGGGCTTGTATCGGATGAATGCGACTGCTTCGTGAGGGGCAGGATTCAGGGTCGTTTAGGGTTCCTAGAACGGTTCCTGAAGGGGTTTTCGGCCGAGTGGTGAGCTTCGGGATGTATACACAAGGCTGAAAGCTTGAGAGATACTCCCATGCGCATTGCAGAGCTCGCGCTTTTGCACTGCCCAACGGCAGGTATTCGTAGCCGCTTGGCTGGACCTGATGTGGCTTTCCTTGCAAGCGGTCGGTGTCGACGTAAAGGAGGAATGGAGTGCTACAAGGGTTTTCGGCGATTGTACTCTGCCGCGAAACCTAAGCCTAAGGAGGCCGTTGGGCGGAATGCCTTCACCAACTTGACCCTTCACCGGACTTCATTCCCTCGATTGTGTGGTGTGGGGTGCGATGTTCAAACATCTCGAGGCTGGTCATGCTAGGCTAGGTATAGTATACTATGGCATCATATAGAGAGTACAGTAGATCATCGTAAATGTACAGTATGTTACAGTTCAGTGCAGTACAGTACACCATGATATCGTATAACCAACCTTATAAAGCAATTCAACGTCCGGGCTTTGGATTTGGGGGAGGCAGCAGGAGCTTTGCGCTATCCCTGCAAACCACTTTCCTGAACTGAACGCAAAGGCCCTCCTCCGAGCCCTCTCTATGAAGGGACCTTGGAGGGTCATGGTATGGCCCAGGCCCTGGACCTTGCAAAGTTTCTTGCAAGAGTAAGGAAAGTTCGACCAGCAGACTCAACAATGGAGGACCTGATGGAGCAGGCACGGCCTTTGGGTGGGACGTGGGTGGGGTTGGAGGTTGAAGTCTTGGTTCAAGGTTTTGGGTTTGAAGTTCCGTACTGTCGGCGCGGGATTCGAGTTTGGAAACGCATATTTTATGGTAAAATGGGGTGTAAGCACAAGCCCAGAAGTTACCCCCAAACCCTAATCTTCAGCCTCAAACCCCTGGGCAAGAAGAGGACCCGAAACCTGAGACCTGTTCGACCCAAAATGATGCATTTATAGGGCTGGGCTTAGTGTTCAGGGTTCAAAATGCTCAACCTCCGACTATAAATATTTGAATGCAACAGAAGTCCAAACCTCAAGACGCAAGAGTCAAGATCCGAGATGGAGTCTTTGCCTCCTTCGCCCCGAGCCTCCACACAGCCCTACATCTCAAGAGCCGAAAAACGGAAACCCGCCAACCAAGCCCATACACAATCCTACCACCTCAACAGCCACAGGAGGGACACCCCACCTTCTTCATTTTCAGAAGTCTTTTGCTCTCCTTCTCTCTCTCTTTCTCCCGCGGGGCCGGGCCAGGTTCAGGCCCTGCTTATTAGCTTCAGCGGCGAGGTGCGCTGCTCCTAGTTGATGGATTTTTGGGGTTTCAAGAGCCCAAGAGCCGTGTGCCAGGAAACCTCTCCACTAAGGTTGCACCGACTTTGTAACCGTATTTTCGGGTTTTGGCGAAATCGCATGTTTTTACCTGATCCAGATTTGCGGCCAAGGGATTTACAAGTTTGTACCGTTGCCGCCTTGGGTGTCGATCATGGGCTGGTACTAAAAATTTCGGATGTCCGGGTTCCGGGAAATCTGGTTTTGGATTCTCAAGTTGTGGCTCGTTGGAGTCCGAATTTGTGCCAAAGTCTCAGGTTTATTTGGGCAAGTTCTCGGTCCGGGCTTTTGCCTCAAGCTTTGCTGTCAATTCTGGTGTGTTGTTGTGTCCGCGGCCTGCTGGCTAGTTCGGGAGATTCGGATTTGAGTGCTTCTATCGCCGTTAGGGTTTAGGGTTTAGGGTGCTGGATATTAGCAGTTCGGCGAGGTTGCGAATGTATGAGGGAAGGAGAAAGACATGAAGGTCACAAATCGCACATATTTGCATGCCGAAGCGTTTGCTGTGTTGCCGTTGCCAAGTTGCATCTACCGAAAGTAGTTTCGATTCCGAAATTAGTCTTCTATTCCCGAAGACGAGTAGGACACGCGTTTCTGCGGGGGCTGACAAGGAGGATATTTAAGTGATTTTTGATATCAGTTCCAATTTTGGTTGAATTGCTTGCTCAGAATGCCGTAGGGCTTCGGGTTCAGAATAGAGAATTTTTGGTTCCGGTTTGGGACCTTTTGGATTTCAAGCGAAGTGCTTGGGGTTGAACCTCAGGGAGCTCGCCAGGGCTCCGCTGATCGAAACATTCGTATCTAAGCTCGGCTTGTCAAGCCTCGAAGCTGAGGTTCTGCGTCCAAAGCCCAAGGGTCGCACTTCGACACGCAAGCCTGAAGTAGCCACTCCGTCAAACTAAATCCTCTCAAAGCCCGAAAGCATGGATAACAAGCAGAAAGTCCATGCAGTTGCTACTCTTCGGTGGAGCCTTCCTTCTTCAATTCTTCCTCTTCGGCAACGTGCGGGCCCTTGGCAATACGATCTGCAATGTGGGGTTAGGGTTTGGGTTTTGTGTCTCTGCAGTCCAGGGCTGCCTGTCTCGGGTTTTGAAGTACTTGGAGGTTCGTGGGTAGTTATAAATGGTGTGATAACCAGGGTAGCTATACTTGTAACTCATATTACGGGACTTATAACCCCACATACAACTACCCCTGAACCTCCTAGTAGGCTTTACGAGGCCCAGGGCAGCAGAGAGTCGGACTGAAGGCCTGGGACCTTACAACCCCCACACCCTACCTTAAGCCGGAATAACCTACCTTTTTAAGGACTTTTATCAGGAAATCATAATAAGGAACCCTAAAAAGGTAGGTTATTCCGGCTTAAGGTAAAGCCTATAGACCCTAAGCCTTAGAGCCCTCAGACCCCATTTTCCTGACCTGCCACAGAAGGTGTCGGCAATTCCGGGCGGCCCAAAACATGCGAAGCACCCCAACCCAAAGGTTTAGGATGCAGATGCCTTGCGGTTTGTTGGAGGCTGTGTATATCTCCCCGGACGTGCTGTCTTGCAGAATTTACCTCGCTTTTCAGGAGCTGGCTCTCGCAACAATACTAGAAGCTTACAATCTTCTCTTTTATGGCTCTCGCCAGGTTCTGTGGCCTTGGCGCAAGCACGGCAAGCGAAAGGCCTGAAAGCTGAGGGTGCGGAGTTATTTTGTTTGACATTTGGCGTTGGGAGTTTAGGGCTTCACGTCCAAAGCCTGAGGCGTTAGAGGTCTTTTTCGGGCCTAGGGCATGAACGAAGGTGGGTGAGGTATCCGTATTTCCGGCGGATAGGAGGACCTGTCTTTAGAGCGCTATGTCCAGGTTCAAGGGCAGGCTTTCTGGGGTCCGGGGCTGATACGGCCTCTGTCCCCACAGAACTTCCTAAGCCCCAGAGCCAACGATAGAAAAGGCTGCAAACGAATCAATGAGCCCTTCGGCCCCTTACACCCCGCGAGAAAGCCACACCGAAGTCGACGAGTTCGTTGGGGCTTGAAAGGGGGGAAATCTCAATCCCAAACTGTCAATGACACCAAGTGGTAAAGTATCGGACCAGAGGGCAACTTGAACATGGAGACCCTTTTTAAAGTCCCGGGCTGATCTGCTTTTCTTCCCATGATCGGGAGTTTCGATTCTTCAAGTTTGGGCGTCGGGCTGGAAGGAACTCTAGGGTTCTAGGGTTTATTGGTATGGAGTTCAGTTATCTTGACTTCCCCCCAAACCCTCAGCCCTGAATCCCCGAGTTTTGTCCTTGTAACGAGGCCGGCAAGACCAAGGAGGACGGGACGAATGGGACGAAGTTGAACCACTCCCGTCTCGTGGAGGAGGGGGCGCTTGCGGTTTAGGGTTTAGGGTTTAGGGTTTGAAGAAGCAGGGCAGCGTACATGAAACTCAAAACCCACTGTACGGCCTCTGTGGCTCCCGAACCGATTCTGCAGCTTCCCCGAAACCAAGACAAGGCAACCCCAGAACACGAAACCCTGAACCTTAGACCTACGCCGTAACACCTAGACTCGGACCTAGACCCAAACCCTCTAACCGGAGCTCCAGCGACGGCCCCCACCGACCCCTTTGCTGAGACTCCGTCCTGCCCTAAGAATAAATTCCTGCACTAACCCACCCAAACTCCTTGAAGATATCGATAGTGACTGTGATGATGATGCGAATGCGGACGTGAAGGCGCAGGCCGATAAGAATGGTGTTGCCCCTCCGATACTGCTGACGACCGTACTGATGATGCTGCAGGTCAATTTTGCTTCAGACTTAGCACTGGCATATCCAGACTAGTCTTCTCGGCATTTGCGATCCTGCAGCCCTAACGCCTTGACCCATGGAGCCATCGATCTTCAAGCCTTTGCGTGTCATAAATAGACAGAGTTCCTCAATCCGAATCCGAAACATACACCTGTAGAGCTCAAAATAACTGAACCCACAGCTGTCTTGGAGGCCACTACCGAGGCATACGAGCAGGGGGACCATCGCACCGTTTTAAGAAAATGGGGTCTGCTCCAGCGTACTGGAGAGGTGCGGCGGGGGCTTTTGGGGTTCGAGGAGCTCAGGGTTTAATTTTAGAGTTTTAGGGTCTGGGGGGTTTTAGGGTCACAGGGTTTAGGGTTTCAGGGTTTTGGGTTCAGGTCTTTATGGTAACGGTTGCATGCCACGACTCCTCATGCTGCTGCTGCTGCTGCTGCTGCAAGAACATGATTTCTGGAACCAGTTACACCAGTAGCAGTACTACGTAGAAGAATGCAGTGGGGAATGTATAGCGCTTATAGACACACCCCAAGCAGCAGTTTACGGTCATAGATCGGGGTCTGGCCTTCCGAAGGTCCCGGCCACTACGCTGGTGCAGGCCAGGGCACTGTCTTGTTCGTGTTGGGGTGGCTCTATGCCGCAAGCCCTCAGGCCCAACTATGGATCTAGACTTGCGGGTTTCCGATAATCTGAATGCCACTCTTTGAGTCCGAAAAACCAGCTAGCAACGCTAGTCTCGTTGCGTTGCTGTACGGTCAGATTCTAGCATGCCCCGCAACCGTACTGTATTTGTTACGGTCCCCACATTGCTCAAAACTTGAGACGCTGATACCCCTGACATAGGCCTGAAGGGTTTGTAAGTAGCCTCTTTGCAAGATACAGACTTGAAGTCCTCACGCTTGAACTTGGATCCCGAGCCACTACGGTTGATGATATAGATCCTGCAATGCCCATTATAAGGAATATACCATAATTTCCATAGTTTAGCATCCTTAAGGTAATGCAGGATGTCTATAATCAAACGTATTTCACGGTTATACTTCAAGCCCAGGGGCCGAAAGAGCTTGTGCGACCCTTGGCGACGGTGTGGGCCCGAAGCCAGCAGTCTACGTAGCACCCCCTGTAAGTGGTATAATCGTCTTTGAACCCACCACTACCCTCCCTTGTTATTCTTGCAAAGTTGTCGCGCAACATCCCGGAGAGGGTCGGCTCAAGCTGTGCCCTTGACTTTCAGCAGGGTCTTTGAAGATTCTCTGGCCACGCTCTACTCATGATGAGGGCACAGGCCCATGACCAGGAAGCTGCAGAAGCATTCTTCTTGCGCAACATCCCCGCGAAATGTGATGCGGAAATCCTGCGCAACTTCCTCCACTCAAAAGGTTTCAGAGGCTTCCAGATGGAGATGACATTGTTTCCGAATGGCAAGTCACGAGGTTTCGCTGTGCTCCGCACATGCCCGGGGTTCGCAGTGCAGCAGAGCATCGGCAACATCCACGGCCAGTTTGTTCCGGGCTTTCGCAAAGCAACTCCACTCTGCCTCGAGCCATTGAGGGGCAGAGGCATACTCCGATGCATTAAGCGCGAGAGCGACGTGCCTGCAGAAATGCCAGAAGGGTTGCTGCTGGCGCCTTGTCATTGCGAGTTTCACCGCCACAACATGCCGGGAATCGAGGCATCAAAAGTAGCAGACGTGACAAGAATTGGGACAGGTGTTCCGACAAGCAAACCTTCCGGCATGTCGAGTGAGATGGCACTCCACGAGTCCATCATCAAAGGTAGTCAGGCATGTACGACTTCGAGAGACGAGCCAGCTTGCACAATAGTGCTTAGCGCCGAGGGGAAGCTCAGTTTCCGCCTTTAGGAGCCTTACCTTGGGTTAGTAGGGAATGGGGGAATGGGGTACAATAACTACTATTAGTACCATTCTTCCATTCCCTACTAGCCTAAGGTAAGGAGCACGGCAAGTTGTTGCATTTGTCCAGGTTCTGGTTGGCCGAAAAAGTGTCCTTTCTCGTCCTGCACGGTATTGGTCTAACAAGAGTTCTAGTGTCTAGGTCGGTTTACACAAGGTTTACACGATTTGCCACCCTAGCAAAGATTGTTCGTATGAAGCCAGGGCTTGTATTGGGCTGTCGAGCGGCAACAGTTCGTCAGTGGGGTTTTGCGTGCCCAAAGGGGCGCGACAAGGCCTTCTTCTGAGATGTCTATGCCTATGCTTTGGCAGTGCGGTATTTTTGAACAAATTGACGCGGCTCCCCGCGCCATTGGCTACTATTACTACAGTGCTTGCCGACAGTCTGGATAATTCGAGAACTGCCTTTCTGAAAGCCTGAAAGTTGGAGAGATCGAATGCTGAACGTGCGTTCAACAGATTGTAAGTTTTTACAATCCATTATACAGGATGTCAAACATTGTTTGATGTAGAATCGCCAGATTTTGAGCTTCGCTTTCGAGCTGAAACCACGTAGAAGGACTAGCAGATTCCTGCCAGGCCTAGCGCAGCGCGCCCTGCGCACTGTCTATTTCAATTCTGTTGTTTGTCAGAGACTCAGAGCGGGTGCGAGTTGAAAATGAGAGCTGCCACAAGGCTTCCTGCCTGAACCCAAACCGGACTTCTTCACGATACTATGCCACCATGCGACGGCTATGTTTCGGACGTAGCCCAACAAGCCAGAAATTCTAACACGACACCTGCAAAAGGCTTCGTTTGGTTCTTGGGGCGAGGTCAGAAGCCATTCGCTCCCCCTAGGGGGGGTACTTCAGGGGCATCGGCATATGTGTTTCCGAGACCGTCCTTTCAACAGCGACTGCACGAGAACTTGTCAAACGCTCATACAAGCTGCAATGAAGACCTGATATACCCCTTCTGTAAACCCTAAACAAAGCCTGAACCAACCTGTAAGCCCGTAATCTCAATCAAGCCCTATACCCTGAACCCTAAACTCAGCGTCGTCGAGATGGTTGGATGGATGTCGTCCCTGATGCCTTCCACAACTGTGGATTCGATAGTCTGAGACTCTTGGGCAGTTCCAAAAGGCGTGCAAAAAAGAACCCTAAACCCAGAAACCCAAAACCCCAAACTGCCTGAACCCTACGCTCCAAACCCAATGGCAGGTGGTGGAATCAATGCAGCGACTGCGCAAGGACCGTTCTTTCATCCTCCAAGAGGCCTCTTCTTGCCCTTTCAGTGGTTTCGTTGACGGGATTTATAGGGTTTACTAATGCTTTCATAGGCTTTGAAACCCTAAACCCTAAACCCTAAACCCTAAACCCTAAACCCTAAACCCTAAACCCTAAACCCTAAACCCCGAAACCCCTAAACCCTAAACTCGAAGTCCTGAAGCCCCCCTCTGCAAGGAGGAAAAGAGGCGCTTAAAAAAAAGAAACAAGCCCCAAGCTCCCCCACTCTTAAACCCTAAACCTCTTCAAATGTATCATATAGTAATTTAAACCTTAATGGTTTTCGTGGGATAAGGCCCAGGCTTCCGGACCAACTTTAATGGATTTCGTGGGATAAGGCCCAAGTCTTGACCAACCTTAATGGATTTCGTGGGATAAGGCACAATTTCAGACCAACCTTAATGGAATTCGTGGGATAAGGCCCAAACTGAGGACCAACCTTAATGGAATTCGTGGGATAAGGCCCAAGTCCGGAGTTTGGGCCTTATCCCACGAATTCCATTAAGGTTGGCAAAGACTTGGGCCTTATCCCACGAAAGTTTGGGCCTTATCCCACGAAAACCATTAAGGTTGGTCAAGACTTGGGCCTTATCCCACGAAAGTTTGGGCCTTATCCCACGAAAACCATTAAGGTTGGTCAAGACTTGGGCCTTATCCCACGAAATCCATTAAGGTTGGTCAAGACTTGGGCCTTATCCCACAAATTCCATTAAGGTTGGTCTGGAATTGGGCCTTATCCCACGAATTCCATTGAGGTTGGTCCGGAAGTTTGGGCCTTATCCCACGAATTCGTGGAATAGGCCCAAACCAATTCGTGGGACAGGCCCAATTCCAGACCAACTTTAATGGAATTCGTGTGGATAGGCCCAAACTTCCAGACCAAGCTTAATGGAATTCGTGGGATAGGCCCAATTCTCGAGATTTCAAAGTTCAAGGTTTAAGCGTTCAGAGTTTAAGCGTTTAGGGTTTAAGGGTTCAGGGTTTAAGGTTTCAAGCTGTGAAAGAAGTGAAACTTTGTATTTCCCTGATGTTATGGGATTCTGAGGGTGGGTGGGTGTTATTTCTAAACCGTAAACACAACTCTACTTTAAAACTGCTCGATCCGGAGCTGCTGAGCCCTAAACTCTAAACCCTAAACCCTAAACTCTACACCCTAAACCCTAAACTCTAAACCCTAAACCCTAAACCCTCAAGAAAGTGATAAATAGAAATTGCTTGTCCTTGTTTGTAACCACCGCTAGGGCCCAGCATTTCGGTTAAAACTGGCGTTAGCTTCTTGATAATCCAATTTCGCACAACCGCAACCTCAACCAGTAACTCAGCCCAGCCAACTCAAAACAGCCATCACAACCTCAACCATTAACTCAGCCCAGCCCAACACCAAATCAAGGTTCCAAAATCAAAACTCTTGCCAAAACGTTTCGCCCAAAACTTTCGGTCAAAACTTTTTGGCACCCAAACCCTTAACAATTTCCATAAACCCTAAACCCTAAACCCTAAACCCTAACGTGAGAGACGTGTGGTTGAGTATCTCGGGATTCGGGGGCGCTACAGTTTCGGTTTCTCGACATCCGGGTTTCTCGGTTGAGTCGTAGTCGTATCGCGACAGTCATGGCGAACGGGAGTGCGAACTCCTCGCGGCGGCTCTAGTCCCCGATGTGACCTTGCCATGGATCTTTGTGTGTGTGAGTGTGTGAGAGCATCGGCAGAGGCACGGGCTCAGCATGCGATGCGATTCGGCCGGCAGGCTGGCGGCCGTTTCTTCCTGTCCAGACGAGCCGGGCTCTCGGCAGAACTCGACTTCTGTGAATCCCGCAGGTAACATGCTCTGGCTGTGTCACGTCGTGCTTACGACCTATCCCGGGCGGGGCTAGCTGGGTCCCTGCATGGGAATAGTGAAGTCGGGCTGTCACCGTGTTGGAGTTTTGTCTTCCGCGAGCTGGATGGGAAGGGGGGGGGGCGGGTGAGGGATTCCATGCTATCCGCGTTACGCCGGATGGATAGAGATTCCAGGCAGGTTGCGAGTCGGGGTGAGGTCGATGCCGTCGATGCCCTTAGACTGTCTTTCGTCCATGCCTCGTGCGCGTGCGGCGACTTGAGATCCGGCCGGATGATGCGGCTGTGGCATAGTAAGGTTGCCGATGTGCTGATGAATGTGCGCAGGCAGCATTTAGCTTTCGAAGAGGATGCAATGTGGCGGGGGGGAGCAGTGGGAGGAGTCGGCAATGTACGGATGGCAACTCCGCAGAAATCCAGGTGGTCGACCCGCCGTGCCCTGGCATTTTGTTTGTTCCGTTTAGTCCAACAAAGCTCGCGCGGTTGCGTTTGTTTGTCCTGGCGTCCTGTGTGATCTTGTGTGTGGCCAGTCGCGGGCGGCCGTGTGCCGGTCTCCCGTCTCCGCCTGTTGTGTCCTGTGCGGGCACACTGGAGCGGTATGCTCCTGTGTCCTGGTTTACTCTGTGTCTGGACATATGCCGATGGGAAGGACAGAAACCGCCGCCAACATGCGGCTAATGGAAACATCCCGTGCGGGGCCAAGTGATCCACACATGCCTACGTGATTCGATATGTTGCTCCCTGTGCGCGCTGCCATGCTGGTCGCCCACTGTCGTGATATTCCTGTGAGCGATGTCGACACCAATCCCGTCGTCAGGGCAGCCCGCGGCGGAGCGCCGTTGCCTCTGCAGCCTTAGCGCCTTTGTGATTGTGCGTGATCAGGGACTGTTAGCATAACCCAGGCCGCTACGACGGCGGCAGCCTGCGGTGCCGGCTGCACAGAGACGCGCGATGCCGCACTGCCGCACTTGCTGTCATAGTGCCAGCAGTTCTGGAGCACGTGAAACCCAAGACTTGTTGTCGGGATCAGGAAATCGTTGCACCTCTTGCCGGAGTGCATCGAGGAACTCCAGCGGCCAGTCGACCCGGCCCCGGTGATGCAGCCAGAAGCGGATCCAGACGTGGTTTTGGCCAGGCAGGAATCACATGAACACGAGTGACTAATGGTGAGTTTCTTTGGGAAGTCGGATACACCGGTTTGGTATCTTGTACGATAACCTGTGCTGAAGTTCTAGCAAAAATCCACCAAGAATCCGATCGGGGAGATCAGAAACTGAAGTCTGCTGGAAGCGCATCTTCGCGAGAATTCTGTGCTTTCGCATCTCCGTGATGGGAAATGCGCGGGGGAGCAACCAAAGGCCTACGGCAAATGTAAGGGAAACCCGATGGAGCACGTCTGAAATTCAAGTGCTGAGCTTCCTACGAAGGAGTTTCAGAACAGTTCCAGAGGGGACCGACCTAGACGCAACTTGGGTGGGTTAGACATCCGTCGTATTAAGGGTGGTCATTCGGAGAGGGGGGAGGGGGGGTTGAACATATATCAGAGTCTGGCATTAATACATCTACCGAAACAGCAGTTGCGGAGGTCAGTCTGATAATGAATCTACCAAAACAGCAGTTGCGGAGGTCACTAACTGGATTCTACTATAGAAGCATAGCATCTGCCGCGGAGTCCCATTTCGGCAGTTTGTGCCCACTATGACCTGTCGACCGATCAGTTCGGTGGAAATGGCTTCAGCTTGCGGCTGTCTTCGTCATATCGTGATGTCCCTGCAGGCGACTGCAGAGACTGCAATCGGGACCTTTGAACTTGCTCCTCCACGGTTGGCAGCCCAGGCTCTTCCCTGGAGTCCGAAACCCAGCCAGGGAACGGATGCGGTTTTAGCGACAAGAGACGGCAAGAATGTTAAAAGCCTATTTCAAATCACATTTTGGAAGTTGAGCCCTCGACGCCAAGGCCTTGAAGACGGCCGTGGAACAGTTTCGAGCCATGACGGTGGAACGACAGAGGAATGTCCTCGGGCTCTTTGACACGCCAGTCTACCAGTTTGTGCGTCGTTCAAAGGCAATATCGCACTGCGTAGTTAAGGTATTTTGTTGCTTCGTGCTGCTCGGAGGTCCGTGGAAGCCTTCAACCGGACCCGGAGGAGCAAAGGCCAGCTGAGGAGCTGTTCAGGGCAGGCTCCGACACGGAGGCCGGCAAGCAAAGAGCTCCAACCAAAAGAAGAGTCCAGTGCATGTTGCTCGTTCGAGCCACTTCGCTCAGGCAGAGGACGAGGTCGGCAATGCAGAGGCGATTCCGGGCCCTCTTCTTACGACGTGGTCGCACTGGAATTTGGCAGGCTGTACGCGAGGAGCCCTTACAGGTCCAGGAAGCAGGACTACTTTCCTGAAGAGTGCTGCCCAATGTCAGGTCCTAGAAGCCGGTTCCGACACGGACAGCGACGCCGGTACGAGTCTCACATGCCCTGCCGATGGCGTAAAGCCGATGGCTAACCCACGTCGGAAGTCCAGCTGAGTTCGTGCGACGGCACTGCTTTCTGGTGCCAGGTCCCCCCAGTCACCTCTGACAGCGACGAGGCTCGACAGTGAAGTCTTGCCGCCAGGGCAACCCAATGCATGATCGTTCGCTCGTGCCGAGGCCACTGAAGCTTCGGACGTCGACGAGGTCTGGCGGTGAGTGCTCGTGGGTACGTGGAGATTGCATCAATTTGGAGGAAAACGAGCAGGCCCGCCAGAATGCGGACGTGCGAGTAGAACCGGAGGCGCCAACTGCTGCAGATATGGCTGCAAGAAAGTAGCTGGGTGCTGCAACCCGCGAGGTTGGTGACGGTCGAGACGTTCCAGCAGCTAACGGGGTGCTAAACTCGGCGATAAGAAGTTTGCAAGTGGAACACCTAGGATCTCATCTCGCATTAGGCCCGACGCCCTCGCGGTGTCCAAGAAGGCAGCCGCCGGTGCGATGCGCTGCTTGAGGTTGCTGTGTCCGTGACCGTCCTGCCGGAGGGCAACTGCCAGCTGGCTCGGGAGCTGGACAGGTCCTTGCTGTGTTATGACTTCGGCAAGCGGCACAAACCCGAGCACCTGAAAGCAATGGTAGCCGGCAGTTTCTCGGCCCATGTTGCAAAAGCGTGCATGTGTCTCGTGCGGTTTGTCTCTTGCGCAAAGGTTGGCCATCCGAGATCTCAGTGCTGCTTGGCAAAGAGGATGGGCACATGTACTACTCAGACGTGTCCATCCTCGCATCTCCCACTGCCTCGTGGCTCCTCCGCACCGTGGAGAACCTGGAGCAGGCCTACTCGAGGTTGCAGCTTCTCGTGACGCCTACGCGCTTCAAGGCCGGCTGTTGGGACCGCACATTTCTCAGATGATGTCACGTACCCTCAACGCCATAAACTGCTTCTGCTGTTTTCCTTTGCTCATGAGCCAACACGAGGCGCGTCAAACCACTCGGCACAGACTCGACAACCTGGCAGGAGTGGAACGATGAGTTCAAGATCTACGTGTTGCCAGAGGAAGAGACGTGCAACCAGGATGCGAGAGCAGGCGAGTCTTGCACATCGTGTTCGCCTGCATGCTGCAGGAGGGCATTGACTACAAGGACGGCCAGACCGAAATGGGGCTTGCCGTGGCCGCCTACTATGGACTGCTACAACCGGGAAGGTAGATTTGTTAGGGAGTCGATGGAAGTGTTAAATGCGCAGCTCGTTCCGCAGGCAGGGTGATCGCTACACCCTCGCCACGGCCATGCAGTTCCGCGGGCTCCTCTTTTGCTACGACACGCATGAAACAGTGCTAGTGGGGCTCTTACTGACTGGCGTTCGAGCATAGAAGTAGTCGAAAAAGGTCCTCGTCCTCGTTCATCACCAGGCGAAGGGGATGCTGGACGTGAACCCGGCCCTGGATCACAACAAGACGGTGCTCGCCGAGAGCTGCATCAAAGCGAGAGCGCCAGGCCGGCCCGGGCAACTGCATCCCAATGGTCTGCATCACGATCTGTCCTTGGCTAGGTCGCTTCGATGTCCCTTACGGGCTCCATGTGATGAGCACGACCGGCAAACGCAGGAAGCCCGCCAGTCCAGCACTCAGCAGGGCTTTTTCAAATCAAAATGACCGATAACGCAAATTACTCCCAGCAGCCCAGCCGTCCCACAGCCCGCAAACAGTGCAACCCAGCAGCCAGCCCCCCTAGCCCCCCCTCCCCCCCTAGCCCCCCTAGCCCCCCCAGGCACCACAAGCCCCCCAGCAGCCCCAGTCCCAGCAGCCCCACCAGCCCCGGCAGCAGCCCCCCACACTTTCGTTCAAAATGTTTCGTTCAAAATGTTTTTTCTATGATGGTTCGACCCCAGCCCCAGTCCCAGCCCGACCCCAGCCCCAGCCCTCCCATCCCAGCTATGGCCCCCTCCCCCCCGCTCCCCCCCCCCAAACTCAAGGTGTGGGTTCAAAAGAAGAAACGTTTCGGTGAAAACGTTTCGTTGAAAACGTTTCGTTGAAAACGTTTTTGGCACCCAAACCCTTAACAATTTCTATAAACTCTAAACCCTAAGCCCTAAACCCTAGAAGCCTGCTTGTGGTGGGTTTGGGCTCATGGCCAGGTGAAAGGCCTCGTGCTGAAGAGCGAGGCCTGGCTCCTCTTAGTGGCTTTCGGGAAGGTGCTGGGTTTTGAACTTCTTGGGTTTAGGGTTTAGGGGGGTTTTGGGGTTTAGGGTTTAGGGTTTAGGGGGCTTTTAGGGTTTAGGGTTTAGGGGGTTTTGGGGTTTAGGGTTTAGGGGGGTTTTGGACTTCTTGGGTTTAGGGTTTAGTGGGTTTTGGACTTCTTGGGGCGTTTGGGGCCTGGAGTTTAGCATGTTTGTGCTTTGCAGTTTGTGGCTCAGGGTTTCGGTTTGGCGGTTGGATGGGGAGTTTAGGATTTCCTGGCTAAAGCCGTCTTTATCGTGTTGACACTGAGGCTGCATGACCCAATGCCCCATTACCCTTCAACCTGTCGAAACCTGGAGCTCTGCACAGTCTTGGATGCCATTCTCAAAATCTCAGACACTGTTTCGTAGTGTGGGGCAAGGCCTCGCAGAATGTGGACTTCATGAACGATGCTTGGCTCACCGCGAGACTTTCTGGGGTTTCATCTGTGGGTGTCGGACTCAGACTACTTGAAGCTTCTTGGCCTCAAGAATGGCCAACACTTTGCACAGATGCTGCCGCAAATGACATAACTTGATCTCAGATAGAACTGAAGTAAGCCTTTGTATAGCATGGAGTCGTTCCGTTTCATTCTGAGGAACTGCTGATGCCAATGATGAAGTCTTTGGATGCCGGCCTCGTCAACCAGCTGTCCCACGGCTTGATCTTAGAGGGCAAAATGCCTCTTCCGCCATGCTCCGGTGTTGATGCTCGGGTGTACTTTGTGGAGGCGTGGAGTGTCCGTGTTTTCTGGGCTCTAGAGCCCGTTCGCGCGTTCCGGATGTCGCCACGAACCAGAACCCTAGCCAGGCCCGTAAACCCTAACATGGAGGTTCTTCATCATATAACATAGTTTTAGAGGTTGATAATTGGATCATGCAGAATCAAAGCACGACTCTAGGCTACTTCTAATGCCACCTACGATGAGAAACCCTCTCACTTTAGCTTCCTTTCGCTCAGGCTGAGCGTTTTTGCCCGTGTTGGCGTGAATCCAGACAGCAGGACCCTGACGGTTAAAGGCTGCATTGCTGCAATTTTTGTTGCAGCAGATGTATAGGCTGCTGCTCCTCCTGCAGCGATGACTGCGCAGAGTTCCGATGCTTTTCTACAACCTCTCTGCCCGTTGCTTGTAGTGGTAGCGGTGATCGTGCTGATGGTGGTGCTGCTGCTGCTGCTGCGGCCATTGCTGTGGCTGCGGCTGCTGCTTTGTGCATCTCGTGTCGGAACTAAGCACAAGCAAGGGGCTAATTTCAGCGTTGACACTCATGTTCGAATCTTGGGGGTTTCAGTGGCGTAGGAAACCGGAGACCCTAACACTCTAAATCCCACATTCTATACTCCAAACTGCTTAGCCGGAGCCCTCCTCCCAAACCCGACAGTAACTGATCTGTACGGAATGCCACGCCAATCATGCTGTTCCTGGCTTTCTTGGTGCTTGCTCGAAACCCTCCACCGTAAACAGCCTAAACCTCAAACTATAATCTCCTCCAGCCCTGCCAGAAGAGATGTACGCATGTATGCATGCATGCATGCATGTGTGTGTATATATATATATATATGTATTTAAATATACTAAATATGTACATATATGCCCTCCAACCCTGCCAAAAGGACCTATGAGATCTTGATGAACCTACACTTTGCCACCCGAAGCTTCGATGAGGTGTGGGTCTTGAGGGGATGGAAGGGCCTGCAGAGTGGTTCCTTCAAAGGGGTTTTGAGGCCCAAGGTGTCGGGTTGATGCGGACTTAAAATCCTTTAGGGGGAGGCATCAAAGTGTGGGTATGTTGGGATCCGAGTGGGGACTACAAGATTTTGCGTTGGGCTTCAAACTGTGGATCGTGAGCGCTTAGAAGCGAAAGTGGAGGATTGAAGGTTTGAGGTGCAGGAGTTAGGGTTCAAGGTTTGGGGTGTTGGAGTTGTGGGTGTGGGGCTTGTGCTTGTGCGGTAGCATGCAATGGTGCAGGGTTTTGGTTCGGGGCTTGGCCTGTTTAGTTTAGGCATTAGGCTACACCCCTGTAAGTTCATCTCTTTCTGCGATTCGGGGGGACTCAGGGATGACTCAAGATCAGGAACATGACCGCGCATCCCCAAACCCGTGGCCGCCCCAGACCCTCAAGAATATCCCCGCGAGGCCTGCGCCACACAGCCCCACCCCCACAAGGTGCCAAGATGCTCCAAACTCTGAACCTGAGCCCATCAAACCCTAAACTCCTGAGCACTCAACTCTTGGAACCTAAACTGTGCAACCGTGACTTCTTAAACTCTGAAGGTGCCAACAAGAAACTCCGAAAGCCCGAATCCCGAAACACTGCCCACCCCCAAACCCTACAGTATGTGCTTAAACCTAAACTTGACTTAACTGTACAGAAAACCCTAAACCCTAAACCCTAAACCCCTAAACCCTAAACCCCTAAACCCCTAAACCCTAAACCCTAAACCTAAACCCCTAAACCCTAAACCCTAAATGCATGAAGGTACGGGATCTGGCTTCGAAGATGCGCAGGGAGGGGTTGAAACCCACGCAGCGCTCCACCCTAGTCCTGCTGAAGACGGCCCTACAGGAGCGAAGTGGATTGGGGTTTAGAGTATTTAGGGTTTAGGGTTTAGGGTTAGGGGTTTAAATTTTGGATTAGAGTATTTAGGGTTTAGGGTTTAGGGTTACGGGTTTAAATTTTGCATTAGGGGTTTAGGGTTTAGGGTTGGGGGTTTAGGGTTTAGGGTTAGGGTTTAGGGTTTAGGACTGTTTGCCTTACTGCACCATTATTGTTCTCGTTAGCATGAATAAGTTCAGGTTGAGGGCTTGGAGGCTTAGGCTGGGAGGGATTTGTGGTTCAGGGTTCAGGATTCGTACGGTTTCAGGGTTTAGGGAACTCGCTGTCTGGTTGTTCGGAGGAGTTGCTGATTACGGGCTAGCTTCAGTGTCTTAGTAGGGCTGTGGTTTAGGGATTGGGTTAGAGCTCTGATTTGGGGGTTGGATCATTGAACTCTGGGTCCTGCAGGGGTACTTTGACAAGCGATCACAACGACCCATCTGTCATCCTCATAGAGTTGGCGCGGTGCGATAAATTTCGCAAGGCTGTTCTAGATGTTTAGGCCATCGCATTCTTTTAAGGTTTGAGGTTGAGGGCGGACCGGGACGTCGGGTTCAGGGATTTTGATCGGGGTGTGTGTTTTGATGCAGGTTGGGAGGTTTGGGGTTTCTAGGTCTGAGGAGAGATGTGTAGAATTCAGAGCCCAGGGCGGCAAAAATTCCAAGCATGTCGTCTGTGCAGGAGGGTACGCTTCGATGCCGTGGCTGCATTGGAGATCATCTCCCCTTGCACGTAAGTTCGAGCATGAGTGTTTGGGCGCCCTTTGGGCTTTGGTTCTCATGTGCTGCCCACATTACTGCTGAAATTATGCTCGTTGTGCTCTACGAGATTTCGAGCCTACTTTCCAAGCCGTCAGTTCAAGCTCCAAGCGCTTCAACGATCGTTTCCGCCGACACCCAACAAGCCAAAGCTTCAATCATTGACGTCCCATCGCATCGCGAACAGCTGAGAGCCTGAGCATGTGTCTAAGATGCCTCGGAGACCACTCCTAACCTAGCTCAATCGAAAGACTTGAAACTTCAATCTGAAGCATCCACAGCAGTATATACTAAAACATCCTACTCGGCTTAGAACATCCTGAAGCCCTGAGCCCAAAATGTCCTAGAATGCTGAGCCCCGATACCCCAAACCTAAAGCGTCGAAGCCTCACCCCTGAACCGCCTACACTGTTTCAGTAGCTCCGCCTTGTCCATGTTGACTCCGGAATATTTGGGTCTTCAAAGCTCTAGACCCTATCTTAGGCGATGCCCTGGAGTGCTACATCCAGGTCCCACCCGCCACCCGGCCTTCGGAAGCCCTCTAAGGCGGATAGGCAAAAGCTAAAAGCAACCCCCGGCCCGATACCTGTGAACATTATCATTAGTTTCGGAAAATTTCTACTCTTAAAATCATTGTAGTTTCGGGATTTCTATTCTTAAAGTCATGAATACTGTGTTTATCCAGATAGTTATGAAAGCATTAAAGGTGGTAGTTTTCTCAACCCTGCCGATCCCAAGTTCGGATGGCTTCAGTTTGTGGATTCTCTTTTTCGGGGTTCAGGGGGGGGTTAGGGTTTAGGGTTGGGCGTTCAGGACGGGTTCTTGTTTCTTGGCAACATGACTTCAATCAACATGCCCCGACCAAAACTCCTAAACCTGCCTACTACGCCAAAGGCAACCCCCCAAGGATACAAAAGCCTCTACTCTTCCTATGTATTCCGGGTAGAAGCACGCTAGTTGGTATAATTTCGTGGATGCTCTCTAGCGGACACAAAACGAAAGCAGCTGTTCCTGCCTTAGGGCTCCCTTCCGGTTTCGAAGATCAGGACCCCAAACAGCAGCGCAGCAGCCCTGCGGCCTCAGACACCATCATCCTCAACCCTACCCTAAGTTTCGAGCCCCGATCAATACATCAGTCAAAAAGCCAAGCCTACACCTCACCTAAGACATTGGTTCTAAAGGTGTGGGGTTCTGGGTGCAGCCAATCAGTTTTTTTGTTTTAGGGTTCAAGCTTTAGGGTCCTATAGCCGGTTTAACATTCAGGACACTTTGCCCAAGCACGTCGGTACTCAGCTGGTCGAAACGGCCTGCCGAGAGAGGAGTGCACGGGAGCCTGGCGTATTAATATAGTTATGAATCTGTGTACTGTATACTTTTCTATGGGTTCGTATATGCATGTGCATCTGTATATTCATGTGTATACCTCTACATATTTATGTATCTGCACATGTAGATGTACCTGTATGTGTATGTGGATCAGAATGCTAGCATTGCAGTCTAAGCCTCCACACCCACACCAGCCCCAAAGCCAGCCGACACACACAACCCCATGACCCCGCACATTTCAAGCTAAAACAAGCCCTAAACCCGGAATCGTAAACCTGAGACGATATTCCCAAAAGCCGTCAGTCCGAAGTTTAATCATGAAGGCGTATCCAAATCTAGGCCCTTTCCGCGTAAACCCACCAGACAGAAGCAGGAACGTTGCTGAAGTGATGCCACACCTGGAATCTGGGCGCATCCCGCTGACAGCGCCATGGTAGCAAGCCGGGAGGTGTCACATGTCATTGCATATAGTTGTATATTCCAATGGATTGTTATACACTGAAGTACATCATCATGGCAGATTGCTGTATCTTGCTATATATATACACATACATATGCTTTTTCAATGTATGTAAGTATGTATGTATGTATGTGGATATATACATATATACATATATATATATATATATATATATATATATATACATATATATATACATATATATATATATATATATATATATCCACATACATATAGTACATACATGCACATTTATACATATTCATTGTCTTTTACTTGCTTGTGAAAATTCCTGCGTTTGATCATGCGCATAGGGTCGATGGAGAGTCCTCGAAACCCTGGAGATTTTCCGGGGCTCCGTGAGTTTTTGAGGCTTCGGGTTTCGTGTTTTGGTCCGTCTCCAGGGTTCACGTTATTGGGTTGGAGTGAGGGTGGGGGTGGCTTGCGTTCTTGAACCTCCAATGTCTGCGGAATGCATATTTTCTCAAATGGAGGATTTTTGAGTGGGGGTCTCTTCTTTTTTCTCACGGTCTCATGATGAGTGAAGGTCCAAATCTGGCTTTCTTATGTTGCTTGCCAGACTGTTTTTGTTTGGCAGATGCATGAAGCCAGGCTTTTAGGCAGCTCTCAACCCTGAGCCCTCAAGATGACTCGTGTAGGATCCTGGAGACGAAGGGCCGCGCAAGAGAAACCGAGCTCCCGCAGATGTTTCGCTAAGCATGCACTGGGGATGTGATTGTGAGTAGGGAGGGGCGGAGTGGTATGCAGACCAAGCAGAAGCTTCGGCTTCTGTCGATGGAGGAGCCGTAAACCAAAACCCTAAACCCTACAGCCCCCCACTCCAAACCATAAATCCTTGCTGCCGAAGCCTACGACCTCGAATCTTGCGTCGGACCCTCAAAACCGGAACCTTCAATCCCCGAAGGCTGGAGCAGAAAGATCCCACAGCTCCAACTCCCAAACTCCAACAACCTCCCTAACCCCTCCCGCCCCCTAGCAAGCACCAGGTGGATTCCTTGAACTTGCTGCTAAACGAGTCGCTACGTATCGAGGACTCCAAGCTGGCAAAGCAGGTGGGATATAGACAGCGTTATTCTTCTTTTTTCAAGTTAGTGCTGTTAGTGTTGTGATTGTCGTTGTTTGTGTTATCGTTGCTCTTACTGTCTTGCAGTTCAGGATTCTTGGTATCGATACTCGTGCAGCATGTATTGGGCCTTCCGAAGTCCGCCCGTAGGATTTCGAGACAGCCTTTTGCAGCGTATCAGGCCTACTGCAGGGATTTTGGAGTTCAGGCGGGTTTTGGGATTGGTGTTCTAGGGTTCAGGCATTGAGTTTAGGATGCTCAACCCTGAAACCCTCATCCCATACCTGAAACCCTAAACCCTAAACCCCAGACCCTAAACCCGTAATTACTGCATAGAAGTTGTGGATGCTGCCTCTGGGAAAAAGGAGCTCAAAACAACAAAAAAGAAAACCCGTAACTACGCCCCCCAACGGATAAAGCCCAAAACTGTAGGATTCCCTTTTTTTCCAGGCTCTGCGACTCGCGAGCAGCCAGGGCCTCGAGAAGAACGGACGCTTCCCGGCGCATGCGATTTAGTGCCGACGCAAGCGCCAGGGTTCAGGGTTTGGGAGGTCGGGTGAACTCCAAACCCTACACCCTACCTTCACCCGGAATAACCTACCCTTTTATGGACTTATATACGGACATCATAATAAGGAACCCTAAAAAGGTAGGATATTCAGGGTTAAGGTAAACCCTAAACCGGACACAGGGTTCAGGGTCTCTGAAGATTTTCTCAGTTGAGGTTATGACGGGCCAGGTTTTCAACTAGAGGGCCGTTTCTTCTCGAAGCTCCAAGCCTTAAGCCTTAAGGGACCGCTAGAGGCGCTAAGGACCCCCAGACATAGCCCAAGGACCTTAAGCAAGCCCTCAGTCCCTAAAGCCGAAACTCCCTAAACCCTAAACCTTAAAGCCGAAGATAAAGCTTGAACAATTTTTCGAGGCACCTACAGCCTCCTCATTCGTGCAGCTGGGGGCGACACTCAGGCCGTGACTTGGGGGCTTCTTCATATCATCAACAGTACTGTAGTACCCTAAATAGTAGGATCCTTACTATAAGGACCCCAAAATACCGTGTTTCGCTGGTTTTTGGATCGGAGTCTAGGGCTTCGAGTTTAGGCCTCAGGTCGGGGAAGCCTTACCTTAACCCTGAATAACCTACTTTTTTAGGGCTCCCGAATGATTTCCTTATAGAAATCCTTAAAAAGGTAGGTTCTTCAGGGTTATAGGGCAAACCTCAAACTCTGATTCCTCAATGGCTGAATTTCTGCACTAGCCCCTGGGCCCTAGGCCCCCCAAACCAAGCTATCCTTGGCGATCCAAGTTTCAAGTAGCACGGCTTAGGGCCCCGAAGGTTCACAGATGTTCAGCTGGAATCGCAAATGCTCGTGTCTACTTGGAGGTTCATGGGTAGTTATAAGTAAGGTTATGAGTCCCCTACTATGAGTTATAAGTATAGTTACCCTACTTAAAGCCCCCCTTATAACTACCCATGAACCTCCAAGCAGCTTAAAGTCCAGAGTACCTTGAACCCTCATGCGCCCGGCAGTCTTCTCACTTGCGAAACGCCGCGATCAAGGCTCTGAGGTCCCTTTGGCACCCAAAACCGGGCTCGGCCCGAAGCAGAGCCCAAGTGCGCGACCTTTCGGGTTTCCGGAACCCTATACCCCGAACCTGTTACCCCCCGTGAGCCTCGAAGCTTATACAGTCTGAACTCCAAACTTCCCACAGGCTGCCCTAAAGCCTAAACCCTGAACCACCAGCTTCCGAAGTTGAGTTGCCAGGAGATCCGCCGCATCCTCGAAGAGCTGAGCCGCTTGGCGACACCTTCTGGGGAACTCGCAATCAGATCCTACGGTTGATGATATAAATCCTGCATTACCCATAATAAGGAATATACCATGAATCCCATAGTTTAGGGTCATTAAGGTCATGCAGATTTATATCATCAACCGTACCTCTAGTCTCCATTGTAGTTCCTTTCTGGGGTTACCTTTTAGGACCCCTGATATAAAGCTTGGTTAAACCCCCCAAAAAGGAACTACAATGGAGACGATAGGTAGACCCCAAAGGCTAAATCCTGAATTCGAAGCTTCAGCCCTTGACCCCGACTCCCCCCGAACCCTAAACCCTAAACCCTAAACCTAGCACCTCAAGGCTCAGGTTGGATGTTCGGGTTTCCGGGGCGAGGGGTGATGATATGAGCCTCCACGAGTAGTATCAGGGGTTTCTTGAGCTACAGGTCCATTGCTGGTCCTCGTTTTTACTTGGAGGCTCATGGGTAGTGATAAGTAGGGTTATAACTACGGCAACTATACTCATGACCCTAATTAGGGTACTTATAACCCCACTTATAGCTACCCCTGAACCTCCAAATAGGCCCCTCTGTTTATTCCGGTATAGTCCCAGACCATGACTAAACTGGGTTAAGCTCAGGGTTTTAGGTTCAGGGCTTGGGGTTTTGATTGATGACTAAGGCTGGGGTGTGTATGGGGGTTAAATAACGGGTTCTAAGCTTGGGGTTTTGGGTTTGGGTTCAGGGTTGGAAGAAGAAATATTTGGACCCAAAAACAAACCATCCCTACAGCGTCAAGCCCGAGCCCTAAACGCCAAACAAACCCACTGAACCCCAAGCACGGAAGCAACTACCGTCTTTTCAACTCCTCTTTCAAAGCAGGAAAGCAGGCTTGATGCAGTCTTCGGAATATCTCCGACGATGCACCCAGCAATACACTGACAGAGCTGAGACGGATCACGCAAAACGGATGCACGTAAGAACTGGGCCTCAACTTGAACCGAAAATTTGCTGGGCCGCGAAGAACTCGGCCGATGCACATGGACAAAGAATCAAACCCAAACCCTTAAGCCGCAATCCTAGCTGCCCTAGCTCGACAAAGGTTCCATGGACAATGTCGTGGCGCAAGCTGTGCTCGACACGTGTGCAAAGACCGGTGACGTGGGCTTAGCAGAACCTTGGAGGAATCGTGTCAAGACCATGGTTGCAGCCCGAGTAACAATAGCATCATCATCACCACCGCCATCACCATCATCAGCATCGTCATCATCATCATCATCATCATCATGCTCGTCATCGTCATCATCATCATAATCATCACGATCATCCTCGTTATCATCAGTATCACCAGCATCATCACCATCTTCATCCTGGGCACCATCAACATCGTGAACATGCACAGCATCGTCCTTCAAAGGCCAGAGCGCTCAACCATGCACACCGCCCCAGCCCGAGTCCAAGGACTAAGTAAGTGAGGTTTTGAGGTGCAACAGGAGAGAACAAGTACCAGCCCCACCTGCCACTGTACTTGTGGAGACCCCTCCCCTCGTCCGCAAACAGAGCGCAAGACGCGCAGCACACAGACTTAGACGCAGTCGAAAACCGCTGAAGCTCGTACAGTTCAGGAAACCCTCGCGAAGCGCTTAAACCCGGCTGAAGCCAGCCAGGTTTCGGACTGGGTTTGGAGCGAGGGAGTTGAGGGTTTAGGTGTGAGAGTACCTGGTTGTAGGCGGAATTGAGGGTTTCGGAAGCGAAGATGCGTTCGAGGGCATTTTGTTGTGGGTGCACGAATCCACGTTCCTTTTGCAGTGTCCAGGGCTTTCGGCTTGGATCTTGGCGCTGAGGAGAGCATCTGGACATCGGGTTTACGATTCTAGATTTGGGAGTTTCCGAAAACAGGGGTACCTTATTTAGGGGTCCTTATAAAAAGGATCCTACTATTTAGGGTACTATATTAGGGTCCCCCTATTTTCGGAAACCCCCATTTGGGTGGTTTCTCGTGACCGAGAATCTGGGGTTTCGGGCTTAGGACTACGGGGCATCCGAAGCCTTTCAGCTAAGCCCCGGGTTTCATTTCAGGCAATGGTTAGTTGAGAAAACACGTACCCCGGACATGTTTCCTAGTGTAACTACAAGTGTCAGGTTAGGACAGAACGAAGACTCATCAACTGAACATTTGGCTCAAGGAAAACAAGTGCGATTGCTGTACTTGTTGCTGTTCCTTGCTAGAACACTTGTGTCTCTTGTGTTCTTCTGGTTAACAGCCTCAGCTTTGAGAGTTTCGTTTGTGTTGTGGCTAGGTGAACTAGAGCCTTTACCTGAGCCATAGCCGTGCATATTTCTCCACCGTCCTTTGGTGTAGAGAGCGAAATCGCATCGTGTAGGGCATTCGCTGTCCTGCCTCGTACTGATACTCCCCACGTAGAGCTAGAGCCAAGCCACCGGGTTGAGTTCCATATTGCAAACATTACGCACTTCAATCGCTGGGTTAGATTCATACAACAACTGCGCGTGCGACAAAGAACAGGTGCACTCATCAGTCACCCGCTGAATCTTTGGACTAGACTTGCAAGGGCCCTAAGGAAAAGGGTTTACAGGCAAGCCAGACTAAGGGTTCAAGAACTTCTCACGCTTCGTAGGTGGTTTAGTCTTAGACTTGAGGAGGTACCTGTCCCGTGGTTTCCGCTTCGTGGACCCTCCCCTTGGCCTCAGGCACCACCTTAGTCACCGTGTATGCCCAGAGCAGACGGGCATCCAACTGTGTGTGAAGCTCTGCACGACTGGTTTGTGGATCTTTACTATAGAATAAAACTTTGGGTACTTGAGACGTTCTTCCCCACTTACCTTCAGAATCGTAGGAGGTGGAACAGGACTAGAACGCGCTGGCGAAGGATTGTTCGCAGGTCCACTGAATCGTGGTATCGCACATCCTTCTTCTTGTACCGATTGCATCAAATACATAGGGTTACCCAATTCCGATACGCAGACGACTATATCGATTGGGGGATCCCGAGATATTACCCATAACTGAAAGGTTGCGTTTGCGCCTGCCTCCGCCTGCTGCGTCGAGGCTGCTGCATTGCAACAGGCTAGGGCGTCACTGGATTACCGCGCTGGCATCCCGCCACCGGTGAACTTAACCTGACCTCCAAGCCTGAATTCCCAACTTGTGTCTGCTTGAGCAATTGAGTGGACTTGCAAATTATCCAATCAAGGATTGTGGCGAGTACCCATACACCTCTTCCAAGCAAGACCCGTTCACGGTTTAGGAAGGCCTAGGGCTTTGTGGTGTGACGGGTTTTGTGAAGGGTTGCAAACGGTTTCCCATCACCGCCATCTTCTCAAACAGCATCGAAGGCACATCCTACAGTCCCGCGGTTCTCCCTTTTAGGTTGAGGACTTGTGGTTGACTGGGTTATTGCCCTCCTGTTGGCACCCCGCCACAGGAGCAACAATTGCCCGAGCACTGAAATCAAAGATTCAGGATTCGGCGTCAAAGACGATTGTGCATCACCTCTGTGCTGGCTTGAAGCCGACGGATTGCTTGTTAGTGTGGTTGGTGACGGTTTTCCGGTTATTAGTCATCCGAGGAACCGTTAAGGCTGTGAAGTCGAGCTAAGGCAGTTCGCACACACATCCATTCACCTTTAGAGCCATTCTAACGGCACCGGGGAAGGTTGATTGAAAGCCACTAGAACGGCAGTTGGGTCGTACCATCGGTCTAATAGAAGTTCCGATGGACGCTACAACGCAGCGCATTTTGGATCTTGTGCCGACTATTGCATCTGACGCTGAGATCAGCGGGCGACTTCGAGCTTTTCTTGGAACGAAGGGCGGTGGGGCGAATAAGAATAGAAGGAAGGCTATTGCTGTAGAGCTGTATCGTGGTCTTCAGCGTCACCTTCATTCTTTGGAGTCTCACGAAGCGTCGCAACTGCTGATTGAAGTTGAACAGCGTCTTGCTGAGGTGGACACACCTGAGTTTATCTTCACTCAGAGTGTTACCCTTTTTCCCGATCGGCCTGAAGACTACCCTGATATCGCTGTGCCTGCTTCACCTTCTCCTCCGGCGGATGATAATGCATTGCCTGTTGCGGCGGCTGTGGCTCCCATTTTGGTTGATGATCCACCCGCTCCGGCTACTCCTCCTTTGGATTTTAATGCATCGTCTGCTGCGGCGGCTCCTCTCTTGATTGATGATTCTCTTGAGACACCCGCGCCGAGGTCAAGGTCCCCAATCCGTGACGTGGCTGTCAGTGCTGATAGCCCTCCAACTCCACCTGCACCTAGACCTAAGGTAGGCAGGGTAAGGACACCATTCCCACCAACACCTAGACCAAAGGTAGAAGGGATTAGGACTCCAACGCCTCCACCGGCGCCCCGTGAAACCAGAGGCACACCCGCTCGGGGATTCCTTGTTACCCGCCCGAAGCGGCGCGCACAGCCGCGTGAGGACCTAGAGGGAGAAGATTTGGTTCGAGAATTCCCGACCATTTCTGAGTCCTTCCTTCCCCGTAGGGTTGATCCGGTTGTTGAGGGTTCGGTAGATTCTTGGACAACGGAACAGTGGAGGAAATACAATGCTAAACAGGAGTCTTCTGCTTCTGCATTTGCTTCGTCATCGACCGCAGCTCCTGGTGCTGCCGTTTTAATGGAAAGCGGGACGCACACTATTCCACGCGAGCCAATGGAACAGCCGCCGCCGCGCGAGTGTTGCAAGCTGCATAATGCATCGGCCGGGCTGGGCGAGCTGCTTCTTTGGATCACGCAAGCGATTGGCCTTGGCTACCGATACATTCTTTCTTTGGATCAGCATAAGGTTGCAGATCGGAGTGTATCGTGGACTCGCGAGCTTTTGCAGGCGGCCACTCGTGAGAATACATTGGTGTGCGTGCTTTCTTTTATCCCTAAGAACTCTTACGAGTCGCATGGGAATCACGCGTTGGAGCTTTGGCGTGGTGTCGTATCTTCTTGTGTTGATTATCAAATGAGGCCTCTCCCCTTGATTGTTACTCCTAAGCCACTTGGCCCGTGGGGCAAAGCTGCAACCCTTCGCTGGCTACGCGAGCGGCTTTGGAGTGATCACGATCAGGCGTCTTGGACTCTTTGGACACACATCGACGACAGAGACGACATTTGCAGGGAGTTCCGCGCTGGGGAGGGCGTCAAGGCTGTCCACTGGGACGTGCGCGATCGGCGTAGCCTCCTCGCACTTTGCCGTGACGAGGGAGTGCTCTAAAAGAGTGTGATTCGTTATCAATCCCAATTCCTTTCTGTTGTGTGCTGCGGCATTTTGCTTAGTGCTGCACCCGGGGTGGATTCATTGGATTGTGATTCGGGTCTTAAGGTTCCTTCTTTCGGGTTGTGAAATTGGCATTCCGCCTTCCTCACTAGTTTGGTGCTGCGGCATTTTGCTTAGTTCTGCACCCTTGTGTGGTTTCCCATCGGCCCGAGAAAAAAACACTTGCAAACCGAACATTGTGGTGTTGGCATCCTGCCACCCACAGCGGTAACAATGGCGTCTTCACATCAGATGGAGACGGATCCCCTGCAGATCTCTTCACTTCTGCCTCCGATGAAGCGGCAGCTGCTGTGCAGGCACCGGATGTGTCATTCGGGTTATCGGTCGTAACCGCAACTAAACAAAGTAGCGGGAGCGAGAGCTCACCCAGGAGTGCGAGTAGAACTGCATCCGAGGGTAGGATTGTTGCTGCATCATCATCAAATAGGCCTTCAAGGGCTTCTAGTCCCTACCATAGGAACAAAACCGCCCCAAAACCAAAGCACATGTATGCGTGCGAGGTTGCAAAGCCTAAGATGCCAACACCCTCCGGTAATCCAGTGGCGTATGGACCACCAACACAGGAGGTTCATCTTCATAAGCATCAGCAGTTGGGTGTCATTGTACAAGGGGTTGACCCTCAGGTTCATTCCCAAGCATTGGCGCAAGCCCAGATTGTTGAAAGCCAGGCAGTAGCATATGTTTCCGAGGTTCAACAACAAGCTCAGGATCAGGTCCAGGCTATCGCCGCCAACATGAGCAACCAAGCCCAAACACGGGTTCAGGCCATTGAGCAACAGGCGCAAGCTATGGTTTCGGAGGTTTCCGTTGAAGCTTCGAGGCAACTGGCTATCGCAAATGAGACCATTGCTAGCTTGAAGCAACAAAACGAGATGCTAGCTCGTCAACAGCAGGAGCTTTACAGTCAGATTGCGACGTTGCAAAGCATCGTAGCGGAAGTTAAGGCCGGTGCTGTGAATACGAGTGTACCTCAGGTTCCCCAAACCCAAAATGGCGCGGAGATTACTGAAGCGCTTAAGGCCATGGCATCACATGTTGGACAAACCATGAATGAGCTTAAAGATGCAGTGTTGTCCTCGTCCGCCGGAAATTCACCAAAGGCGAAGGGGCGCAGGGATCATAAGAAGGATTCGGATTATTCGGTTTCGGGGATTCCACTTGGCAAAGCTGCTAAAGCCCCGTACTTATCCAGTCCCCCACCTTATGCATGCGAGCGACAAGCATCAACGAATCTCTTTGATGCATGGGCACGGTCCTCATCATCACTTGCCAATCGCCCACCAGCTTATGTATGTGAGAGGTCGGCAACAACATCATCGAATACGAATGCATCACCTGTGTTCACGACACCATTCTCTAGCCTAA